GTTTTCAGGCTGGGTGTCTGCCCTGTGCCCCCAGCTCTGTCCGGCCTTGTTGGGTAGGGGCAGGAACCACCAGTGTTATCGACCCAAGGGCATCCTAGATTTTGCCCATTTTCTGGTATTGCGATAGTCACTGGAGCCTTCTGTGCTATCTGATCATTGGCCACATGGAGAACGCCTGTGTGCCAACTGATAAAGGCTGGCTCAGAAGGACCACTGTGGTTAAGGAATTGGAATTTCCACTGCAGAGCCCTTTGGGCTCAGAGCTGCCTGCAGCAGGCACAAACCTCTGTGATTCTCTGCACAATGAAGCAATGCATGGGCAGGTATGAAATCCACGAGTGTCATCCTGGCATGCTGGCTTGATTGGCACTCACACCACACAGTTCTGACTTTGACAGGGTGACCGCGACACTGACAGGAGACAGGCAGTGTGGGCTGGACTTACAATGCTGTAGAACATCCATCGAGGAACTGCCAGTACCAGACGCAAATATGGTCTCATTCAAACTGCACAAAAACCCGAGAGCAGAGGTCTGACTCTGCTTCTTTTACAGATGGGGAAATGGAGAGGTTGTGTGGGTTACCCGAGGTCACGTGGCTTGTTGCTATGTTATTACCCAGAATCTTGAATATTGTTTAATATGTTGTGTGACACCGTGAAGTTGACTTATTAAAAATGCTAATGGAAGCCAGGTGTGGTGATGTGTACCTATAATCCCAGTACTCAGAAGGCCGAGGTAGGAAGGCTGCAAGTTCCAGACTGGCCTGGGCTATAACTTGCAAATAGACACTTAGTTATGGCGTATGGAAGGCTTGTTGTTCTTGTTGCTAATAGATGTTGCTAATCAGGCCAGGCAAGGCACACAGGTTTGCTTGATTTCTTTCTTTTATCCTTTTGCCTGTTCAAGTTGTACAAATAAAACACTGAAACTGTATAATCTGGTTAAAAGCTGCAACATAAAAAAAAAATCTCGTCGATATCAAATTAAAAGTTATTATGGAGCTGGTGAGACTGCCCGGTGGGTAAAGGGACTGCTTGTTGCCAAATCTAATGATGGTGCTTGATCTCTGGGACTCACAAAATAGAAGAGGAGTTCTTCTTTGAACTTTGTATGTGTGCAGTGGCACATACACACAAATGTGTGTGTGTGTGTGTATGTGTGTGTGTAAAAATAAGTGTAATAAAAAACTTACACTATGCTGAGTTTGGTAGCTCACCAACCCTTGAGAGACCAAGGCAGAGGATCAAGAATTTGAAGCTGTCCTTAGTCACACATCGAGTTTAAGGCCAACCTGGACCACATGAAAAAAGATTTATACTAGCATTTTGGAGACTGTCCACTTCTAGAACCTCTGCTTGGTTCACTAGGAACCAAGTCTTCCACAACATAAGGCCCAGCTTCTGGATGACCTCTGCAGACTGAGGGTCTTTGACCTCCACCTCAGGGAAGGTCTAGGGCAGATGGATCTTCTGGAAGGTTCCTCAGGGAAGCATGGCATATCTATGGGCCTGGAATCTAGGAAGAGACTGGGCTGGTGGCTCTGCGCCAGGCTCAGACCTCGTGAGTCCACGGTTGTTTAATAATATTTAATGTTTTTACTGCTTCGCTCTCGTATTTGTTCCGTCAGTGATCTGCCTCCAGCTGCCGGCAGGACACATCCCCGGCTTGTCCCTGCCAGCCCATCTGTTACCAGGAGACAGCTCTCACAGGACCTTTAAGAAGGGTGAACTTTTGTGGCACAGACCAATGGGAATGAGGCCTGGGGATCTGGCCGTAGAAGAAGGGTGTCCACCTACGTCAGCTTCATCCTCTGAGTTCCCACTCCCGTCCCTGGAGTGGGCATGCAGAGTAATCCTGGCCTCTGAGGGGCTTCAGGGTTCCCAGTGCAGCTCCCCCGCTGTTCTGAACTCAGTAGTTCTACTCATCCTGCGGAAGCTGGGCATCTGGGAGGAGAGGCAACCACGAGGGACCTGGAGCAGGAGAGAGCCCTTGGCCTCACCCTGTGTCCTCTCTCCGCTGGTTTCCTTCCGAGGCTGTTTGTCTGTCCTTCCTCCCAGGACACGCTGCCTGTCCTAGTTCGTGCCATCATGCCTTGCTGTCTGCAGTATTTCAGCTCCTCAGCGATTTTCCTTTCCACAGTTTCAATTATCCATGGCCAACTGTGGCCTACCAATGGTGTTACTTACATGGTCTGCAAACAAATAGCTTTTGTTTTGTTTTCATTTCTTAAAAAAAAGATTGTGTCTCTGTGTGGCTATGTGCACATGGGTACAGTTGTCCTCGGAGGCTGGAGTTGTTGGATTCACCCGTGTAATGGGTGCTGAGAACCAAACTCAGACAGACCCTCTGCAAAGACAGCACAAGCGCTTAACCCTTGAACCATCTCTCCAGTCCCCAGAAAAGGTTCTTATGTTTCAAAGAGTGCGCCGTTTCCGAGTAGCCTGGCGGCATCTTGCTTTCCAGCCGGAGATATGATCTCCCCTGTGCCCAGTGTGCCCACACTGTGTGTGCTTCCTTCCTGCTGAACACTCAGCTGCCGTCCTGGGCATCTGAGCAACTTGGGGTATCAGGGAACTGTGCGAAGCGTCAGTTCTAGCTTTATTTTCCCTGGCCCTTGATGATAAGGGACTGCGGTATTTCTTCCACATTTTCTGTGTCTGGAGAGACTCTGTAAGTGCTAGGAGCCTTGTGGAAGAGGCACAGGTAGCTCCCCTGTCTTTCTGGGATCCCCCAGGTTCTAGTTCTATAACTCACGCTTACACACTCGCTACAGGAACTTGAGTTCAGATTAGGAGCTTTGCTCATGCCTGCAGAAGAAGTGGTATTTTCACTACCACTGGCTTGTCTCTGGAGCCCCTAACAGCTAGAAAGGGATTCTCGGCAATGTCTTGGGTTCACATGCCTTGTTCGTGGAACATGATTTTGAGAAAGTTTCTTGGGCTTTAATTAAATAGCTGAAGGATTTAGAAGCTCTGTGCCGCAAGGCTCTTCGGGGCAGTGACACATAGTTGTGGTCCGGTTATTCCTGTGAGCCCTTTCTCACTGTCCAGTGGAAGGCTAGGGTCTATTCTGCCACCTGTCTGCATACAGCAGGCGCTCACTTGTGTTGGTTGTACCAACTGACCATGTGGGTCTGACCTAACACTGCCACCTTCTGGTAGAACTGCCCTGGTGCTGAAGGGCTATTCCTGGGTTCAGCTCAGAAAGTAAGAATTCCTCCCAGGCAGAGGTCGATGGAAGGGAAGCCCACACAGAAGCGTCACCGAGCTCCACTGCTCTCGGGGAGCACAGAGCTCCATCAACCTGTGGCCCCCATGCCACTGCTTCTGGTAACAAGCTCTTCCATTCCTCTGGGACAGTGACATCCCAGGAAGCAGATCACTCAGAAGTGGCATGGTGATGGGTTCCCCATCCACCGGCCAGTGACCCCAGCGGCCCTCTCCTGCAACGGACAAAGGACCTGCCAGATGCTCACTTCAGCTGTCCTCTCCTTCCTACTGTCAGCGCTAATTTCCCCGCGGGCACCGTTTTCACTAAAACCCACAACTTCGGATATGCTTTTATTTTCATTTAGCTCAAAGTTATTTTCTCATTTTTTTGAGGGTTTCCAAGAGGTTTTCTCCATTATTGATTTCTAATTTAATTTAGTTATGGTCAAAGAACATAGTTCATATGATTTGTGTCCTCTTGAATCCAGTGACTTGCTTTTTATCCCAGAATCTGGTCTGTTTTGGTCAGTGTTCCAAAAGCACTTGAAAAAATAAATGTATATTTTCTGTGAGAGGTAGGAGCTTTCTAGAAAATGTCCATTGTATCCAGTTGGTAGAGTCTTTATATTCTTCATGACTTTGGGGACGATTTACTTGTTCTATCAATTATTGGCTGAAAAAATGTTGGCATTTTCAAATGTAATTGTGGATTGTCTCTTTTCAAAGGAATTTTCTCATGTGTGTCTCATTTCTGGTGTCCTTTATCCCTTTGTGTAGATCCAAGTTTCTTACTGGTGTTTTCTTCTGTTTATTCTGTTTTACTTCCTGGAATGCTTTTTCTAGCTCTGGTCTGTGGCTACCAAATTCTCTCCTCTTTGTTTGTTGGGAAGAAATAATTCTTGTGTCTTCATGTCTGGAGGTCATCTTTGCTAGGTATAGAATATAGCAAGACAAGAATCTCCCCCCCACCCCCCGAGAATTAAACAATAGTTTTATTGTCAACTGATCTTCCCAGACAAGAAATATGGTGTCATTTTATCTTTGTTCCTGTCTAGGTCTTCCTTGTCTCTGGAAAAAGATTTTTTTCCTTAGATCTTATTACTAGTTTTTAGCATTTGGTTTTTCTGATGAGCATCTATCTGTGGAGCGCCTTGAATGTGTGTGGTTACAGTTTGCAAATCATTTCTTCTCTAATGCTGGCTTGCTTGCTTTGAGAAATGGACTCAGTTTGTTGGCCAGGCTGATCTCAAAGTCCCCGGTTCAGGCAACCCTCCTGCATTAGCCTCCCAAGTAGCTGGGTTTATAGTATGTACCTCTGAGCCCTGCTTCCTTTCCCCGCTAGAACATAGAGAGTGTGACGACAGTTGTTTTACTATTCATGTCAGCTCTATCATTTGTGTCGAGTTGGACCCTGTTTCCATTACATGATCTTTTTCTACTGATGTGGCTCTTTAATGTTTGGCACTTTTGCATGACTGTCTTTGTATGTGTGTGTGTGTATGTGTGTGCGCGCGCTCACGCGTGTGTGCTAAATATTGTAAATTTTCTACTGTAAGTAGCTAGTGCTGAAGTTGTTCATACATTCTTGAGTTTCATTCCAATTGTGGTTTGCTACTGCAACCCTTTGCTCCTGGAATCTGAAGGCCCTCGCTGAGGTCAGTGTTTCACAGAACCAGCACACCTAATCAAAACCAAGAAATGTGGAGCTTGGGAGCTAGTTCAGTCAGCAAAGGGCTTGTTTTACAGGAATCTCAGCTCAGTGCCCAGAGCCCATATTAAAAGAAAAACTGGGCACTCACTTGGGCCGCACACATACTAAACTTGGAAAAACACAGAGAATATTAGCATATAGCCCGGGGCAAAGGGTGACACACAAATCTGTGAGGCAGTCCATCTTAACTTGTCATCCCAGGGCTGGGGAAACAGAGGCAGACAGATCCCTGAACTCCCAGCCTAAAGGCCATACCTGCTTGGCATATTCCAGGCCTGTGAGAGACCATGCCTCAAACAAACAAGGTTGATATTACGTGGGAGCGACAGCTGAGGTTGACCTCTGACCTTCTCAGGCAGGCACACACATGTGCAAGCAGTGTGCACCTGCAAATGCAAGAGCACACTCCCTGATGTCACCCATCATCATTAGCTTTTGTCGTTCTCTGTTTACATATGGTAAGATGCCACGGAGTTCACTCTGCTGCCATGACTATCACCCCTGGCCCCTACCCCCTTGCTTACTTGTAACTTATCTGCATTGTAACTAACCTACCTGCAGCTTATGTGCTGAACTCTGGTGTAGTCTCAGAATGATTAACCACACCCCTGTGAGAAACAAACGCCCCTGGACCCCAGAGTACAGTGTGGGTTTCTTATTCTTTTTGCCTCTCCAGAATCCAACTGAAACCCTCTTTCGAAAGTCACTCAGTCAGTGTTTCTCTCTCTCTCTCTCTCTCTCTCTCTCTCTCTCTCTCTCTCTCTCTCTCCTTTCAGTGAGGTTTTGGCGCCTGTTTGCTATGGTCTCATCTGTTGCGTTGAGGGACCGGCTTCCCTCCTGAGCTCGCTGCTACCCTGCTGTTAACCGCTTTTAATTTGCCCCGGTGAGAGCACACTCCTGTGGAGCGCGGTGCCCAGGCTTTGAAAAAATACCTGATGGGGTGGGGGTGGGGGAGATGGCTCAGTGGTTGGAAGCAAACACTGATTTTGCAGAGGGCCTGAGTTCGGGAGACCCAGCACCTTCTTAGGCAGCTCACAGCCCCCTGTAACTGAGGGGGAACCTGACACCTCCAGCCTGCACATATCCACACACCGGCAGACAAGAATGCACAGAGGTTGGACCCGCCCCCTCACCGTGGCACCATCTAGAGTAGATCCTGCACCCTGAAACTTTCCTTGTGAAACCCCTTAAAGTTAGTTTCTCCTTCCGCAACCAATGGCTATCACTCTTCTGTTTCTCCATTCTGCATTTTCCAGAATAGACTCCTTCATTATACAGCCTCTCCCTCCCTTCTTTCTTCTACCTTTCTCTACTCTTCCTTTCTTTCTTTCTTCCTTCCTTCCTTCCTTCCTTCCTTCCTTCCTTTCTTTCTTCTTCTTCTTCCTTCCTTCCTTCCTTCCTTCCTTCCTTCCTTCCTTCCTTCCTTCTTCCTCCCTTCTTCCTCCCTTCCTTCCTTTCTTCCCTTTCCTCCTTTCTTCCTTGCCTTTCCTCCTTCCTTCCTTCCTCCCTTCCCTCCCTCCCTTCCTTCCTCCCTTCCTTCCTTCCTTTCTTCTGGAAATTGGGTTTCACTAGTAGGCTCAGATGAGCCCCGCTGAATACTTAAGCCTCCTGCTTCCGCCTCCTGAACGCTAGAGTTACAGGCATTGTGCCAGTCTCAATATGTCGCCTTTTTAGTCTGATTTCCTTCACTCAGCGAAATCCATTGAAGGATCTTCGGCATTGTGGTGTTCATCAATGGCTTTTCCTTTCTCCGAGTTGCATTCCATCTTCTAGCTGCGTCTCTGCTTGTTTATCCATTCATGGCTTGAAGTGCGTATTGATTGTTGTCGCTTGCCCTTTTATTCCCTGTAATGATGCCTTTCAAACAATATAATTTTTCAATTTTAGTATACTCAAATTTATGGCAGTTCCCCTATGGTTAGTGCCTTTGTATATTGTTAAACAATCTTTGCCTCAGGGTTAAGAAGATTTTATGGTTTGTTTTTTTTTTTTGGAAAAAAAAAGTTTCTGAATTTTGACTACTTGTCCTTTCTATTAGATCATGGCTCCACCTGGGTTGGTTTTTGAGTTTTATGTGAGGTAGGGATCAAGATCCATCATTTCCCCAGGTCACTGTCTACTGGCCCCAGGGCTTGCCGACTCCCTGGCTCCTGAATGCATTCTAGAGCCTTCTGGGCCAGAGATCATGCACATCTGGCACTGGAGCCTGTATCTGGCCCTGGTTCATTGTTCTTACATTTAACTCACACGTTCTTAGTTCCCAGTGCTCCGGCCCCAGTCTTCATGCCTCATAGACCCGCCTTTGCTGTCCTGAACTCCTCTTTGCTTCTCCACGTGGAGAATCCGCTTGTCAGTTCTCATGGAAACAGCAGCTGGGAGGGCTTCAGCTAGAACCGCAGTCACAGTGTGGATCAACCTGAGAAGAGTCGGTGTCTCATTATTGAGCCTTCCATGACTGTGATACACACGGGAAAAACATGTTAAAGACACTGAGACAGAGTTTACTTTCACCCTTCTCCTGGGCCCCAAAGACTGTCCACTCAAATGTGTATGACCGAGTAGGACCTTATGGGCAGAGCTTCCTATGTTGAGGGTCTTGTCCAGGTAAACTGAGGCCTCTATTCAAAACTGAGGAGTGATGTCTGTGCCCTTCCTGTCAGTTACTCCAGCCACTCTTTTTACACCTGGGGGTGCAGGTGCATAGACACAGTTACCTGAAGACAGAAGCAGGAGGATCATAAATCAAGGCCTTCCTTCCTGGGCAACAGTGAGTTCAAGGCCAACCTGGACCACTTATTTAAACCATATCTCAAAACAAAAGTTTTTAAAGTTAAAAAAAAAATGAGAGTTGGAATATGACCTCAGGGGTAAAGTACTCTCATGAGACCCTAGGTTCAACTTCTAATACTATGCAAAAATGCTTATATGCATTAATAATAATATTGTTTTATTTTTAGTATTGTGTGTGTGTGTGTGTGTGTTTGCTTGATCATGCAAGTGCACATTCCACAGAATATCTATGGATCTTAGAGAATAACTTTGGGGTGTCAGTTCCTTCAGTCCAGCACGTGAGTCCCGGGGATTGAAGTCACATCACCTGGGTCTCAGGACTGATCTCAGGTAACCAGGCTTTGCCGCACCTACCTGCTGAACCATCACACGGCCTGATCAGATCATTTTAGTGAGAGTTGACGAAAGGTACAGTGATCAAACATATAATATTCAAAACCAGGGGTCGGGGAGATGGCTCAGTCGCTAACGTGATTACTACAAAAAGATGAGGACCTGAGTTTCCCCCTCAGGACCCGTGTAGAAACAGGGCACAGTGTCAGGGCACATCTGTAACCCCAGCTGGGGTGAGTTGTGCAGAGACAGCAGGTGTCTGGAGTTCACTAGCTACCCAGACTACCTAGTTAGTGAGATACAGGCTCAGGGAGAGATCCTGTCTCAAACAATGAAGGAGGATGAGGGCGGAGATGGTCCAGCAGCTAAGAGTGGGAACTGCTCTTGCTGAGAGCCCGGGTTGGGTTCCCTGCACTCACACTGTAGCTCACAACCACCTGTGGCTTCAGTCCCAGGGGATCCGATGCCCTTTTCTGATCTCCCCAGGTTTCTGCACACGTGTGGTGCACACCGCCAACGGGGAAGCATTTATGCGGGGCATATACACTTTCAGCAAACATATAATAAATAAATCTTTTGACAGCAAGGCGAAAGGAAATGCCTGATGAGGCCCTGAAGAGACGGCTTTGTGGTTAAGAGTGTGTACGTGCTCCTGCAGAGAGCCTGAGTTCATCCCCAGCACCCATGCTGAGCAGCCTAGAACCCCAACTCCAGCGGGAGCTGATACCACTGGCCCTGAAGGCCCCTGAAGTCATATGCACACACACACACACACACACACACTCACAATTAAAAATAAAAACAAATCTCAAATGTATTTTTTTAATATTTTTTATGGTTTTATTTAACTTTATTTTATGTGCATTGGTGTGAAGGTGTCAGATCCCCTGCAACTGGATCTTCAGACAGTTGTGAGCTGCCATGTGGGTGCTGGGAATTGAACCCGGGTCCTCTGGAAGAGCAGTCAGTGCTCTTAACCATTGTGCCATCTCTCCAGCCCCTCAAATATATTTTTAAAAAGAGAAAATACCCACTGTTGACCTCTGACCTCCACATGTGCACAGGTATAGACCCCACATGAACACATACATGCACCGCACATAGGCAAAATAAAATAAAAAGAAAACAAAATTTAAACAGAGAATGTTTAAAGATAGCCGCCAGAAGTTAAGATTTGAATAGCAATGAGAAAATTTAAGTGAAATATTAATATTTGAGTTCTTTTTAAAAACACAAGCTCTTAAAAATCCAAGTGTAAACCAGGCAGTTGATGATGCACAACTTTAATCCCAGCACTCGGGAGGCAGAGGCAGGAGGATCTCTGTGAGTTTGAGGCCAGCCTGGGCTACAAGAGCTAGTTCCAGGACAGCCAGGGCTACACAGAAAAACACTGTCTCAATAAAAAACAATTCAAGTGTATCCATGACGTCATTATTGAGTCACTGACATATTTTATGAGCATTTTTTCCAGCAACTGTAAAAAGTTCTTTTTGACTAGGCATTAGCTAGAGAAATGGCAAGGAGATATTTTTAATCTAAGTCCAAATATTTTTCCCCTGACTATCATTTTCAAATCAAATCTCTCATTCAGTAACTTTAAGAGGATCTTATTAAAAACAAAATAGAAGAAAACAACAACAAAATATGCTTAATTTGGGGAGGGCAGGGGCTGCAATCTTTTTTATCAACAAACTGTAGTTTCTGTTTCAAGAAAACAATCTGCTAGCATTTGGGGTTTGTTTTCACCTTTCTTGGTCTCAGCAAGCAAAAAGGAGATTTCGCTGCTGAGTTACCTGTGTAAATTTCTGCCCTGACATGTTTATGCTCCCCTTGTTCAAACGCCTTCAAGCTTGGGTACACGTTATTCTTGAAATGGAAGCATTGCTTTGTCAATTGTCATTTCCTTCCTCCCTGAGAGGAACGAGGATTTTTAAATGAGTGTGAAATTTAACGCAGATAATAACTCTCTGGATGCATCCCAAAATGTATGGGTTTGGATTTCAGATTGTTAGCATTAATGGAAAAGAAATCTGGAATGTGGCAAGTTACACAGGACCTGGGGTGGT